CTGGGCTGGATTCGAACCCGCCATCTTAGGTGTATGTGGCTGGCCCCTTAGCCACTTGAGCCACAGGAGCCAAGCCTTTTTTCTACTTTTTATAGAGACAGAGTCTTACTATGTTGCCCAGGCTGGTCTCAAACTCCTGGCTTAAAAGATTCTCCTATTTTGGCCTTCCAAAGTCTTAGGATTGCAGGCTTGAAACGCCCACCAGGCCTGATAATGTTGATAATAACATTATCACTTTCACAGGGTTATTGTGAAGATCAAGAATTAATGTATCACTTAACAGCTGAAGATGAGGAAGGGAAAACTATTCCCTTCTCTGGCTTGAAACTCTCACCTGGCCTGGGATGGCTTAAAATATAGACTAGACCAGGCAGGTCCAAGGTCTTGAAGCTGGTCATGGTGATACTGGAACTTTGCTCTTCAGCAGGTTCTTGGTCTCGGTGATTTGAGGAATGAATCCATGTACCACACATCAGTGGTAAGACAGGATTTGTTTACAGAAAAGAATACAGAAGTGCCAGAGCTCCTGGCAGAGAGAGAAAAATCGAGGTAGGAGAGAAAAGTGCTCTCTCCCCTTGTCTGTCTGTCAGCTCTTTTTCTAGGGGTATATATAGCTGCATGGGGCTGTCTGGCTAGGTAGTTACATTTAGCATGTCTGTGATGTCTGTCTGGAACAATATGTTACATTTAGCATGTCTGGGACATTTGTCTGGGTTGCAAATTAATGGCTACAATCCCTTTTAGTCCCAGGCCTAGGAAATGGGGACCCCTGTCCACCTTCCAGCCTGCTGGTTCTTCTGCTTGCTGCCAACGCACCAACATTGCCAAGGTGGAGGCAGCCAGTTTGTGGCCCCCAGCTCCACGAACTGGTTTGGATGCCACTTGTCCTGTACCAATAAGGGAAAAACATTTTAGACAAAGATGGACCAACAAATCCCCTGAATTAACTAGCCTGCCAAGTCTCAGTTCACAAAGGGAAACAGTTGAAACTAGAGAGGCAATCTCCAAACTAAGGAGGGGTTCCAGATTGTGCTAAGGAGCTTGAGTTACACACTGCAGGTGACAAGGTAATGTGCGAGGTCTTTAAGCACCTAAAACTAGTAGGATTTGAGCTAGAAGGAAATCCAGAGGAGTCCTCCACGATGAGTCACCTCTCCACCTACCAGCCCCCGGTTATGGGTTGTGGGTTGCACCAGACCCTAACCTGGAGCCCAGGGGCTAGGCCTCTTCCTGGCTCAGAATCTGGAGATTTCCACTTAGTTTTGCTCAGATATTTATGAGACCAACTAGTATGTCTAGCAACATTGTTTGAGGTCACAAACTGTGAGAGAGCTCCCCAAATAGCCCATAGATCTGAGGCAGCAGCATCTGAGAGCCTCTGGGTTGCGGTTAACCTGACTCTTGACAGCTAACCTCTGCTTCCCCGACAGGGAAATGCTAGGTCCTCGGCAGGTTTCTCATCTTGTGGGATGATTTGCCCCGCATTTACTTTCAAAGATCCTGTCGCACGACATTATGTCCTCGTCGCGCAGCAGCCCAGGCAAGAGGTGACCTGTGGCAGGGGCTGAATGGAACAGCGCCTAGTGGCACTGTGTAAAATGGGCTTCTACCGCAGAACTCTTTTCCTCCACAGCAATTATCGTAGCTATTTCTCTTTTTTGCCTTCAGAATCCCTCCTCCCAGCACCTGCAAGCATCTGTGGCAGCAGGGACCGTGTGTGTCTCAGCCTCCAAAGTATCCCCGGAGTCCAGAAGATCCGAGGGGATTGGAGCGGGAGCAGCGGCTGCCGCCAAAGACGATCTTCCACTCCCCGATGGCCTCAGCAGGCTGAAGCGGCAGAGCAGGGTCGCCGCGGCAAGGCCGCAAGGTGCCGCAGCAGTAGAGACCCGCAGGCAGCGCGGCGGACCCTGGCGGGAACCTGGCTAGGCCGGCAGGGCCTCCTCCCGCGCGGCGCTCTGGGAATTGTAGGCGCCTCCCTTCCCGCTCTCCTTCAACCACTCGCTCTCGGAACCCAAGGACGTGGCGGTGGCTGGCGCCCGAGAGTCCCCGGCCGCGACGCGCGGGCACCCGGGTTTCTACAAAGGTGCCCTGCCCGGGACGGCCCCAGGCTCCCGTCGCGCAGGGCACCTGGCGGGCGCGGCGCGCTGCACTGTGGGCGTGGTAGTTCCGCCGGGCCCCGCTCGCGCCCGCCCAGCTTTGTGGGGTTGCGGTCCGAACTACATTTCCCTTCGGCGCGCCCGCCCTCCCGAGGCCGCTGCGGCGCGAGACTTGGGTGAGCCGAGTGTCTCCAAGATGGCCGCTTGGGGAAGGAGGCGTCTGGGCCCGGGCAGCAGCGGCGGCGGCGCCCGCGAGAGGTAAGGGCCAGGGGCGCGCTGCTTCGCGGGAGGGCGGCTCGGTAGTGGGGGACCCCCGCGGGACTCCTGGACCGCCGCGCCCTCCCTCCTGGGCCGCTCGGGGTCCCGTTCCCCGGCCGGGCGCACGGGGTTCCAGTCCAGGAGGATCCGGGATCCGGCGGGAGTGGCCTCCGCCGAGCGCGACGATCCCGGGAGGGGGCGGCGGCTAGGCGAGAGACTAGGCTTGAGGCCCGGCCTCGCGGAGGGGACCGGGGGTCCCGCGCAGGCCTCAGGGACCCGCCTGACTGCTTGAGAACCTAGCGGCTTCGGAAATTCCCGCTTCGCCAGCCACGCGCGTGGCCATCTAGGCCGCAGCCCCCGACGTGGCGAGGAGGGAAAGGCTTCCAAGCGGGAGGGAAGGGGCAGCAGCCTTCACTGGGCGGCGGCTGCGAGAGGCGGTGCGGGCTGCACGTTTACCAGAAGAGCGTGAGTCCTTCCCAGACGCGTCTCCCGGCCGACAGCCTGCCACTCTCTCGAGGGGCGTTCTTAAGACTTTTGGAGGGGTTTCTGCAAGCGCTCCTGCCGTGAAAGTCCTTTAAAGTGACCTTTCCTACTGAATGTTGTATGGGCTGGCAACTAGGAGTGTGTTCCTTCCAATGTGGACTTCGATATGGGTAACTGATTTCTGGAAGGTGAAATTTGAGTAGTTTCCCTCTATCGTGTTGAATTTGCAGTTTTTCTTTTTGGAAAGCAGTTTCAGCTAGTAGAAGCCACTAGAAGCTGTTCAGCCACTAGAAGTTGGGAGAGGACGTATATTGTAAGAGCTACCTGGATCGCACTGTCCTATCCATTCTGCTGAGGCTTGATTGGTATAGCAGAGGTTAGCAAGAGAGGAAAGATTTTTTCCTCTTGTTGATGGATTGTCAAAAGTTTTCTTTCTCTTGCACTATTGTGCATTGTTTCTCTTCTTTGATTGATTCCACCCCTCGTTCATTGCTACTGTCTGCAGATGGCTTTCCCAGCCCAGAAGATTCTTTAGAATCCTTTACCTTGCATTTTATTCTTAAGCTCAGAGTTGTCCAGCATTGTCCATCCTGTATTTCTTCTTTTTTGGAAAAGCAGTGGCAAAGCTATTTTTGTTTTTGTAACTCCCTCCTGGTATTTCTTAAGTTGAGTCATTTAAAGAAGTTACCTCAGTTTCCAGATGCCCTTAAAAAGTAGCAAACATTGGGGTGGCTACTGTGGCTCAGTGGGTAGGACCCCGGCCCCATATACCAAGGGTGGTGGGTTCAAACCTCACTCTGCCAAACTGCAACAAAAAAATAGCCAGACGTTCTGGCAGGCGCTTGTAGTCCCAGCTACTCTGGAGGCTGAGGCAAGAGAATCACCTAAGCCAGGAGTTGGAAGTTGCTGTGAGCTGTGAAGGCACAGCACTCTGCTGAGGGTGATAAAGTGAGACTCTGTCTCTTAAATAAATAGCAAACATTTTCATTATCTTTTATGCAAACATTAATCCTTTAGTAATAGGAAATAACCTGTTTAGAAAATTCAGAGTGTCAGAAAAACATGCACCCTTCATTGATCAAAAGAAACAAAACTGAAGGAACCAATAAAGATGGCCCAGACAGGGAACGGAAGATGGACAGTGGAGGTTAGGCTTTTTTTTTTTTTTTTTGGAGACAGAGTCTCACTTTGTCACCCTTGGTAGAGTACTATGATGTCAGACTCTTGGGCTCAAGTGATTCTCTTGCCTCAGCCTCCAGAGTAGCTGGGACTACAGGGGTCTGTCACAGTGCTGGGCTATTTTTTTTTGTAATAGTTGTGATTGTGGTTTAGCTGGATTCGACCCCACCACCCTCGGTGTATGTGGCTGGCACCATAACCGCTGTGCTACAGGTGGTGAGCTGAACACTCGGCTATTTTTTAGAGATGGGGTCTCACTCTGGCTTAGGTTGGTCTCAAACTCCTGACCTCAGGTGATCTGCCCACCTCAGCCTTCTAGAGAACAGCTGGGATTACAGGCGTGAGCCACTATGTCCAGCCTGTAGGTTAAGCTTTTATTGAGGTAAGAAAATAGACATTGGGGATTATTTTTGTTTTGGCTTGAGCCAGTGTTAATTCCAAGTGGAGTTTAAGCCTTCACAGCTTTTTTTTTTTTTTTTTTT